CCCTGATATTGTGACCCAGAAACAGTACGGAGTGAACCCGGGGCTTAAGCCAATGGGGAACTACGCGTCTAGCATCAACGTAGCCTATCATATTTGTTCTGAAGCTAAGCGTTGTCATTGTGTTTTTTTAACTTAAGATACAAACTAAATCATACATACAAACTACAGATCTATTGAGCAGCAGCAAGGTGGGTATAAATACGACTGTTATTCACAAAGCCAACAGGTTTAAGGATTAAAAGTACTGTGACCGTCAGTGTCATTTACTGACATCTAGTGGACTGATGTCGGTATTGTAAGATCAGAAAATCTATTAAAAACTATTACACTTTACAAGAAAAGTGGTAAGATGTAATTGAATATTTTATTTGTCTTTAGAGGTGTGATTCATTGTAATACAGAAAAAGCCGATAGTAATCTTATGAAACAAACGTAACAAAGTAAAGTAGTAAAGGACTATACTCAAGTATTTTAGATATCTGAACTTTACCTATGTATATTTAAAGCAGATACTTTTTACTTTTAATTGTACTTTACTAAATTACATCAGAGAGCAGGTATCTGTCATTACTACTCCACTAGATTTTTTAAACACTAGATTTTTGATTTGTCTCCATGGAGGTTATTGCTTTGCCTTGAATTTTCCACAGTATGGCATTAAACATATATATCTAGCATGTGTTCATTACAGATGTTTCTGTTGCTCACAAATACAATAATTCCTTCCTGAAACTCTTCACAGATCTGAACTGTAATGCTGCATAGTGCTGTAACCTGCTTGTCTCCCTTGTGATGGATAGGTTTAATCTAAATCTAATCTAGGTTAATCTAATCTAGATTTAAACTAGTATACTATGGAACATTATAGACAAAGCAATAACATTTCCATGGAGACAAGCAGGTGGCGGATCCTCTACTAGAAACATTACGCAGTGCACCTTAGTGTCCTAGTACTCCATCCACCACTGACTAGGAATATACTTAAATTACACATCATGAATGAATGATTACACATCAAGAAAAATAAGAAAGAAAGATAAGAAATTTCACAGTTATACTATCTACAAATCATGATCTATGGC